CTTGGTTAATTTTTTTTAATCATTTATTGTGGGCTTGTACAACTCTTACCACAATCCATAAATCCATCCATTGTGTCAAGCACATTTATACATAGGTTGCCATCATCATTTTCAAAACATTTTCTTTCTACTTGAGCCCTTGGTATCAGCTCATTTTTTCCCTCTCCCATCCTCCCTCATGAACCCTTGATAATTTATTAATTTTTTTTCATGTCTTACACTGACCGATGTCTTCCTTCACCCACTTTTCTGGCGTCGTCCACCTGGTTAATTTTTAAATGATGTAACTTGAAGTTAGTTGTGAAGCAAGATGTAAGAGAATATTTACAACATAAGGATTTGAATCTCTCAACAGTGTATCACAATGTTTTTTTAAAAGAATATTAGTAATGAGTTATTTTTCAAGTTTATAATAATTGGTGCTAAAGGTGATTATTAGGAGAAAGCAAAGAAATAAAATGAAAAATATAGAAACATGTTCAAGTTCAGGTGCTACATCTGGAAGTATAAATAGCAGTGTTGAAGAAAACATTGACTCTGAAGTGAGTTCAGGAAAGAAGGAAAGATATGTGAGACTCGAATGAAGATTGTTTAAAATATGATTTTAATAAATATGTGAAAGCTAACAAAAATGACAAACCTCAAGGATTACATGTAATGATATCCTTGAAAATAAAATGATAAAACCTGCAAAATTACAAGGAACTTGGAAAAACAGAATGCTGAATTTGTTGATAAGCTCAAGGTTTTTCCAAGAAAGATAAAAATGACAAGCTATTAGCAACACTTCTTAGTTCTCTGGCAATTGGAAAATACTATAACTGTAATTAATTTGTATATCCTATGATAAGAGAAGATGCTTACCACAGCTGATATAAAAAAATACTTCAAGCTGTACAGGAATACTGTGTGTGATTTTTAAATGAAAAATCTGATAAAAATTAGTCTCTTAATTATAACACAACTTACGAGGGGGCTTCAAAAATGGATGGGGAAAGCCTATGGTCTTTTTTTTATTAATAGATCATCTGATTGGGGGCTCTTACAGCTCTTAAAACAATTCATATAGCAATTGTAACAAACACATTTGTACATTTGTTGCCATCATCATTTTCAAAACAGTTTCTTTCTACTTGAGCCCTTGGTATCAGCTCCACTTTTTTCTTTCCTTCCTCCCCCTGAGCCTGTGGTCTTTTCATTCCATTTTTTCATGAAACTTTCTGAAACCTCTTGTTGCCTGATGTGTGGACTATTATGGGTCATGCAGAAAGAAAACATAGTAAGTGATTATATTCTCACGTACAAGGTTGAGAAGACCTCAAAGACGAGCCTCTGTACTTTTGAATACGAAGGTGAGTCAGAAAGTATTACTGCAAACTCAGAGAAACCCTTCTGAAACAGGCATGTCAAAATGTGAAGCGACTGCTTCTGGGCCTGTCCCCCACTGGTCTGTCTGTGTGCTTCTGAGTACAGTGTTCCACTTCTCACGCCCGCTCTTTGACTCTGCACACCACATCGAAGTGGCAGCCCTGGAAGCCTGGATGGATTCAAATCAGATGCAGTTTACATGTTCTTTGAGTTCTGGGACTGAAAAGGGGCAAGAACAGGAGGACAGCGTGCCTAAAGATTCTAAATTCCTCTGGTTGGGGCAAACAAAGCTTCCACTTGCTCTATCTATCATGACCTCTTTATGTTCTCCAACATGTTGTCACTACGGAAGAGAACATTATTAGCATAGACCGTGGAAATCAAGTAAAATTGGAAAAGTTGTTCCTTCTCACTTGCTCAGATCTGTAATCCTAAGATTCCAGATTGGGGTGGGAGAGGGGGATAGACATAAAAAAGGATAAAACATCTCTTTGTTTTTCAAAATGCGGAGGAAGTTCTTGAGTTAAACGTAGTGCTTAAAGAAGACGAGTCAGGGTAGCTTCTTGACGGTTGCTGGGGTGTAGGGTGCAGCCAACAGCCGCTCGAACCACAGCACTGAGCACGGCCCAGACGAAGTCCTTGCTGTGGTTGAATCCACTGGGGCAGCGGTGTTTTTATGTTTTGTTTGATTATCTGATTGTGCTTTCGGTGAAAGTTAACACAGGAAATTCCTTTCCCATTCAGCAGCTTGACCATGAAGTGTTTGTTCCATGACATAGGTACATTCTTAGAGACAGACACACACACAAGTCTGAGGAGAGGGGCAGTGGTCTGTGCCAGTCAGAAAGGGAACTTGGGGAATGTGTGGATCTGGAATCTACTGGACCTGTACTTCATAGGAATTGGCTGTGTACTGACTCTTATATTTGAAGTTATTTGAAAGCAAATTTTAAAAAAACCCTTTGTAGAGAATCTACAGCGTTAACTTTTTATTTCCTATTTGAATCAAGAGATGTTTAAGAGAATGTTCAGTTTTTATTGGTTTTTCAAAAATGTTTATATTCAAATTTTACTGTATTATAGACAAAGACTAGACTACTTTATATTATTTCTCCCTGTTGGGAAAAAGATATATTCTCTATTGCCTGTGTGTGTGTATTCGTATATTTGCATATTAAATAGACTTTATTAACTTATATAGCTTGTTTGTATATTTTGTAACTTTTTAATTTGAAATAATTTTAGATTGACAGGAAAGTTGTAGGAAAAAAGGACAAAGAATTCCTTCATACTCTTATCCCAGACTCCCCAATTGTTAATGTTTTACTTCATTTACTTAAAAGGTTTTTTCTCATCTTCACTTTCTTCTACTTTTTCTCTCTCATGCTCACACACATACATTTTTCTGATGCATTTAAAAATAATATGTACTTATTTTGGCCTGCTTGATCTGCCGTAGGCTAATAGAGGAAGTTACAGATTCCTGTACTTGCTGTGCTTCATTTCTCCTTTCTTTTTTTTTTTTTTATTTCTCCTTTCATGTTGCAGGTTTTGCTTTCTGCATTTTGATGATGCATAAAATCATGGCTGGCACAGCCTCTTTGTGTATTAAACATCCCTTTGTTTCATTTCATACCTTTCACTCTAAAATTAACCTTAAATGATTGTACTGTGTCCTTTACAGTGGTATAAGAAGCAGGGACTCACGGGCTATCTTGTCAGCTGCATCAGAAATTTCAGGAAAGGCTTTATTACACGCCAGTGGTTTTTAGGTGCTCTGAGTCTCAGAACCTGTATTCATTCTTAGTCATTTTTGAAGACTCCGCCCAGAAGGTTTTGTTGGTTTTTAAGGGCTTTTGTTTAAGTGACTTGTATCTATTGATATTTACTGTTTACTTTTCTAGAAGTAAAATTGAATATTTAAATTGTACATACTAACTCACTTAAGAACAGTAATAAACCCACTGTGTAATAACATATCTTAGCATAAAAATCTAAAACACAAGGAGAAGTGAAAATGACATTGTTTTACACATTCACAGCTTCTTTAATTCGTGGTTTAGAGCGCATTTGGTGTTCATATCTGCATTTGGATTCAATCTGTTGCAGTGTTGTTTGGGTCCAAGCAGATGAATAAAGCCTAGCTTCACACAGAGAAGTAGTGAAAAAGGAAAGAGTATATGTAACCCTCTCATAAAAGCGAGGATATTCTTGGTGATATAATACCAAAACTCAACAAGGGGTAGTTTCATAAAGGTTGATGGATAGATGGAAACCGCATCAATGAAATTGAAAACTCGGGCATATGAAAGCCCGTTGGTTAGTCTTGCTTTTTGAATGGATCATTGAACTGTGTGTAATTATTCTCGGTTTTTGGATACCCTGGGAAGGGCTTGGTGATTCCCCGAAATCCTCCAACCACACTTGGAGAACTGCAAATCACATAGCTGCATCTGACTACACCCAGATGTGTCTGTGAACCCATGATTTGAAGCCAAACCATATGCCAGGAGTGTTACGTCGTACCTGACAGTAAATAGAGTAAGCACCTACCTTTCTGTACCAGTATGGTGCTAGGCTCAGGGACGGACTCAAAAGAACCTCTGTGGAAATGAAGATCGGCTGTGTGAGACTGAATTGAACTATCTCCTTCTGTCAGACTTTATAGGCTGATTGGAAGGATAGAACCTCCGAGATGTACAGTCGAGCAGCAGTTGACTTAAACTGTGGTTTGCAGACTCTACCTGCAATTGGCTAGAGTTCTGAAAAGGAAAAGTTAGTCGTGCATATGAACAGTGGAAAACGACTAGGAGTACAGCCTGAAAAGAGGATTTAAATAACAAAATAGAAACCTGAAAGAGGACATTTATTAAAAAACAGAAGTAGTAATGAAGATGGTATTTTCCTGAGAAACTTCAAGAACTACTAGCTCCAAGAGTGACTATGGGAATGGTAGAAGAATGAATTTCCAGGGCTGTGTTACAAGTCTCGAAAACTAGAAGGAAGAGTCTAATCTCATTGTGGTGGAAAATAAAGATCCACTGTTATCTCACTAGTTTTTTTTTAATCTTTTTATTGGGGCACTAGCTTCTTATAAATAAGAATCATCTGACTAGTTGATTTAGATTTTACTTATGTCTTAAATGCTGTGTTCTCAGATACCCAGAATTCTAGGATACCTCCTGGGGTCTTCCCACTCATGTGTACTGATGGGACCTTGTTCCTCAACTCAGAGGAGAGTAATTGATTATCTTTTATCTTTAGACATTCACTTAGTAGTATTAACCCAGTTCAAGTGGTAATTCTTGGTGGAAAGTCTCTGTGGATTGTCATACTCCGTACCAAAGCTCCTTTATAATGTGTGATCCACAGGATGGTTCACTGACCAATAATTGTTAGAGAAAGAGGGGAAAAATGATAACTTTGTCCTTTTGATAGAAATTCCAATCTCTTAAGATCACAGATTCCCCCCCTCCAGTCACATTACATTATACATAAAACTCCTACCGCCTGAGACCTAGTGCTTTCCAGGCACATGCTTCTGTTTCATGTGTTTTCCTTAGGGAGGGGGTATGCCTGACATGAAAATGTGTGATGATGTCAGCCCTCTTGTCTGTTCTTTCTTCCTGAAGGCCTGAGGACGAGCTGTTTTTACAAAGACTTTCTAGAGGTCTCTTGGTGGGAAAGGACCCCAAAGCTTCCATTTTCTACAAAGAAGAAGGAAATAAAAAATTTCAGGAGAAGGACTATATGGGAGCAGCTGTGTTGTACACTAAGGTAAGACACTCCAGACCCAGCAGGAGGAGCCGCCTCAACAATTTAATAATGTTTACTTCTTTAGAAGATTGAGCCAGATTGCTGAATTTACAGCCAGTGGTAGTAGCTCTATCTGCGATTTGTGATTTGGATTTGAAGAAGGAAACATGGTAGATTTCTGTTGTTGGCATGTTCTGAAACAAGGGGTGGTTTGCATCATGCCTACTCACTTATGGTCTGTCTTGTTATTTGATCTTCATACTTACAACAGTAAAAATCCATCCAATTCTTGCACATTGATGATGTACATAAAGCTGTTGTGATGGTTAAGCAAGCATGATTTTGGTGAGTAGACAGTTGTTTAAGGGGATGATTTGGCAGTCCTGTAACGATGTGGTCATCCTCCATTTTTAGAGGATGCTAGTTTTTGCATAACAACCTGGTCTTTAAACCTAGGTCCTGTAACGATGTGGTCATCCTCCATTTTTAGAGGATGCTAGTTTTTGCATAACAACCTGGTCTTTAAACCTAGCCGCCAATAAGTGAAGTGTGTGTATATACCCTGAATGCTATCAAGACACTCGCTTCTATTCTCTTCCTATATCCTGCAACCACTTGGAGCAGTCAAGTCTATTGGACCCATGTGGGGGAAGGGCCAACTCCCCCCGCCCCACTAATCACGAGTTCCATAGGCACAATTGTCCGGTTGTGATATATAAATATTAAAGTCATCGAGAGCATGAGAGATAGAAATCATGGAGTCAGACACATTTCATGGTAGCATGCTCACCTCAGCCCCACTTGGTGGTCCACTGTGGAGAGGGGGAGGAGAAGGAGGACAAGGGGAAAGGGAACAGGAGCGAGGACGGCAGAGGAGAGGGGGAACCAACAAGAGGCCAAGGGAGGAGCCTGAGAGAGCTCTTTATTGCTAAACCAGGCCTGTATACCTTTTGGGGGAGTGCAAGCCCATTAATTACAGGTGAAGACATATATCACAGGAAGGGGTTGCATTATGGGTTATACAGCAATGAGAGGGGGACAATCTAGGGATATACACGCAATAGGAAGAGAAGGGATTGGGGGTATACAAGTGACAAGATGGGCGGATCCCAGATTCAGGATGGAATGCCTAACTTTGGATGTCACTGAGCCGGTTTGACCTGTTCTCTGGATCTCCATAGAAACCATTATCCATAGGATGTAAACCCCAAGCTAATGGTCACAAGCCTTTAGGGAGAAGTAGTCCATTGTCCTTAACAGCAGGGAGCAGGCCCTACCTTCTGGGAGGTAAGTTTACAATCATTTACCATTAGCTGCAAGCAGTGTCCTAAGTCTAATATATTTGGGGGAGACCAACTTGGGAGAAATCTTTGTTTCCCACAGACCCACCTCTGCCTCCTTCTTGGCTGTCAGTTCTCACTGGGTTGTCTGAATGGCTGCAGGAGGCTGTTAGTTTGATAGTCCTGATTTAGAAAACTGCCAGACCTTCCTTAGTCATTGTCCACCATCCAACTGGACTCCAGATGGAAATTCAAGTGCTCTACTAGTTTGAGTGGCAGCCAGCAGGTGTTTCTTGTATGGCAATGATTTAGTCAGCACCAAGCTAAGTTTCGGGGAGAATCCATGGCTTTTAATAAATTGTTACTGCTATTGACCTACTTCCCTCGTAGGAACTAGAACTAGATCCCCTGAGAGTCTGCATCGCATAACTTTTATAAATTTAATTTATTTAATAGTTTGTTTTTAACAATTTCATTGACATATACAAGTTACATATCATATATTTCAATAGTTCGATTACATTCAGAAGACTTGTGCAACCATTACTACAATCAATTCCAGGACATTTCTTCTTGCTGGTACTCATTTGTTTAGCTCCCCATTCCCTGCCAACCTCCCCTGTCATGTCCCTTGAATCTATTGGTCCAGGTGTTGTCAATATAGGTTTACTTAATCTGGTTTTCATATAGAAAAAAATTAAACAAAATAAAAATAGAATACAAGCAAACAGCCCAACAACAATGAAACCTAGAAAACTCAATCGATAAACAAAGCAAAAAATATTAAAAACTGGAACAGTTATACATTGGGTCAAGAGGCGGGGGTCACTGACAAGGTGTAACATTTTGACGTGACTATAATTGCAGTAATGCACTCTGCAGTGTACTCTGTCTGGTGCCTTCCACAACTTTTTTTTTTTAATCATTTTATTGGGGCGCATACAATTCATCACAGTACATAGATCAATTGTGTAAGGTACACCTATACATTTGTTGCCCTCATCATTCCCAAAATTTGCTTTCCTCTTGGGTTCCCGGAATCAGCTCATTTTCCTTGTTTTCCCCTCCCCCTCCCTTCCCACTCCCCCATGAACCCTAATGATTTATAAATTATTATTATATCTTGTGTTACACTGCCTGCCTTCCACAACTTTTAAGAGGCTTCTATGAACTTGAAGGAAGAGTGTACCAAACCCTTATGATTTCATACATTTTAAAAAAATAATTAAGTGGACATTTGAACGTTACCCTGAAAAAAAATTTTTTAATTAAATTAAATTTAAAAGAAAGAAAAGAAAGGTACCCTGACTTGGAGTCTTGAATAGGACTGTGCTTAATTAAAGTTTGAAAATAGTGTGCCAGAAACAATCAAGGCCTACAACAGTAGCTTGTATTGCTATAAAGCCCTGCTTTGTAGCGGTCCAGCAAAGCATTTGGCTAAATAATGTTAGCTTTCGTGATTGCTGAAGGATTAAAAGGCATCAGATGTAATGAGCCAGTGATGAATGGCTTCTTGGTAGTTCCTTTTCAGAGCTAATCTTTTAGACTTTATGCGATTATGGTACTTTTGCAATTTTATATTAGGCTATTTTTTTCCTTTTAAAAAACATTTGTTGTTTTGGTCTGGTTGTAAAAGTAATATATTTTTTACATTGCAAAATGTAGAGAAGCCGAAAGAGCCAAAGTGATCTCATAACCAGTGATAGACAGTGTTAACATTTTTGCCTCTATCCATCCAGTCTGATTTTTTCCTCTGGAAATAGGTTTCTCTTTTACAAAAGTGGGAGAATGCTGCACTTACTATTTTTCAACCTGCTTTTCTCCCCCTGAACAATTTATTGTGATCATTTCCTCATGTTATTAAGTTTTCTACCAGAACATGAATTTTTACTACTGGCTTAATGTTTCGTTAAACACAGACTGTACTTGATTTTACCATCTGATGTTGGCAAAAAGAGGACCATGGTGGTGCGGTGGTTAAAGCACTCAGCTGGTAACTGGAAGGCTGGCGGTTCAGACCCAGCAGCCACCCCATGAAAGAAAGCTGTGGCAGTCTGCTTCCAGAAAGACGCCAGCCATGGAGTCCCTGTGTGGCAGCAGGCTTGCTTTGAGTCCACTCAGCAGCGATGAGCTTGAGTTTGGAGGTGTTTAGAGCGCTGGAAATCGTCTGGTATCTTAATGCTGCAGGGCTGCCTTTCTCCATAGCCTTTCTCCTCTTCAGATAAATTCTTAGAGGGACAATTGTGAGTCAAAGGGAAAGTATCTTTTAAGGCCTTAGGTACTTGATGTTGACTTGTTCTCCAGAATAGAACTAGTTAGCAGCCCTTCCAGCAGGCTATGGGAATGTTAGTTTTTCTTCATATCCTAAGCAAATGCTAGTTACTAATGGTTATATAGGTGGTGGTAGTAGTAGTAGTGTATCTCTCCTGTTCCTAAGCCACCTCGTTTCACTTCCCCACTGTTACCTGCTTCCTTCCAGTATCTTCTCAAGACCACAAACTCATTTTACACAATTGATATCATGGTGCAAAGTTGTGTATTTGGAATGCTTTTTTTCCCCCTTAACAATAATTTTGAAGACCATTCCACATCCGTACATAAAGAGCATCTTCATTCCTTTTTATGACCGCATTTCATTATATGGATATATTATATTTCATTATATGGATATATTATAACTTATTTTACCCAATGTCTTACTGATTCACATATAGGAAATGCCCTGTCTTTTGCTATGTCAAACAACTCTGTCATGAGAGACGTAGGACATATGTCTTTTGCACATCTCTTCTGTATAAATGATCGCATCTATGAAACAAATTTCCAGAAGAGGAGTTGCTGAGTCCGTAAGCATATGTATTCATAATTTCGATATACATAATGCCGAGTTGCCCTCCTTAATCATAGGTCCAATGTACACTCTGATCAGCAACGTGACTCTGCCCATTATCACACTGTCCAACTCAGTGGGGCAAATTTCGTTTTCACGATCACCAATCTAAAAGGGAAAAATGGTGTCTCGGTGGAATTGTAATTGGCATTTAGTTGGTTAGGAGTGAAGTTGAGCACTTTCCCATATGCGTAAGAGCCATGTGTATTTCCCCCTGGAACTGTTTGTTCATGGGATTTGCTGCTTTTCCTGCTGGATGACTGGTTGTCATCTTAGTGATAGGTAGGCCCTTGTGACAGTAGAGAAACTAGCCCTTTGCCTGTGGTAAGAGTTGGCAAGTATTTTTTCCAGTTCATTCTTTGTCTTTTGATATTACTTTTACTGGGTTTTGCTCTGAAGTAATTTTTAAATTTTTATCTGGGTCCATTTATTGACCCTTTTTCTTAGGACTTCCGTGTTCTGTGTCGCACTGAGAGTCCTGCATCCAGCATGGCTTTATCGTTGTTGTTAGTGCCGTCCAGTCGGTCTGACTCCCAGCGAGCCCGTGTACAACAGAACCAAACACCTCCCAGCCCCGCGCCAGCCTCACAGCAGTTCTTACGTGTGAGCTCACTGGGTCAGTCCAGCTGGTCAAGGGCCACCCTCTTTCATGCCGCTCCTACCAAGCATGAGTTCCTTCTCCAAGGCCTGGTCTCTTCCGACATGCTCCAAGTATGTGAGACAAAGTCTTGCCATCCTTGCCTCTAAAAAGCAATTTGGTTGTACTTCTTCCAAGAGAGATTTGTCCACAGAAGCCGGGGATCACAAGATGGAATTTTGCAAGACCAATGACTTCATCATCACAGATATCTTTTCTAACAACACAAACAGTGACAATACACATGGGCTTCTCCAGATGGACCACACAGAAATCAAATTAACTCCAACTGTGGGGAAAAAATTATAGAGAAGCCCAATATCAGCAGCTAAAAACAGGCCCGGGGCTGACTATAGAACAGACTCAATTGCTCGTATTTAAGTTTAGGTTGAAGCTGAAGGAAATTAAAATAAGTCCACAAGAGCCGAACTATGACCTTGATTATATCCCACCTGTGACTTTCAAGAACATCAGAAGAACAGATCTGATGCATGGAGCTCTAATGACAGAACACCTGCCGCGCTGTGGGAGGACATCAAGACCATCACACCGGAGAAAGCAAGAGTCAGTAAAAAGACGGTAAAGAAGGAAAGGGTCAAAGTGGATGTCGGAAGAGAAGTGGATTACAGGACGGATGAGCCCTATAGGACCAGTGGTGTGAGTGGCAAAACAGGGAGGGTAAAGGGAGAATGGGTAGGAAAGAGGGAACCAATTACATGGAACTGTGTGTGACCTCCTCCCTGGGGGACAGACAATCGAAAAGTGGATGAAGGGAGACGTCGGACAGGGCAAGATATGACAAAAGACCCATTTATAAACTATCAAGGGCTCATGCGGGAGGGGGGAGCGGGGAGGGAGGGGAAAAATGAGGACCTAATGTCGGGGGTTTAAATGGAGAGAAAATGTTTTGAGAAACGATGTACAAATGCGCTTTACACAATTGATGTGTGTATGGATTGGGATAACAGTTGTATGAGCCCCTAATAAAATGTTAAAAAAAAAAGAAGTGGATTAGAAGAGACAACTTTACACTGGTCCTATAGTTTCTTCTAGTGCTCAAATATTTTCAGTGATAACATTAAGATTTTGATCCATTTGTAGAATGTCCTAATGAAGGGTTTATGGCAAAAAGAGCCAGCTTAATTTTTTCTCAGTGGCTACTTGTCTCCATACTTCATTAAATAATCCCCATCTCTTCGTCAGTGTGGTTTTACTTAGGGCTATCGTTCATCCTTGCTGAGAATAGACAAAATGTATCTCTTTTGTGCTACAGTTTTCATATCTTTGGCTACTGATATCTTACACATTTGCTTTTTACACACAGATTCATGGTGTTTCTTCTATTGTGAATTCTTATTTGCCCCTTTGCCCTTTGTCAGATGCAGGATGAGACTTGCACATATTGGCCTCCATTTTTCATTCGCCTGCAGAATTGCTTATGGCATCCAGATGCCTTTTCTTCAGAGTGCTCTGGATATTTATTTCCTCACAGGTGTGATCTAAGGCAGTTAGGAAAGGAGCTAAAGCAGTGGTTCTCAACCTTCCTAATGCCGCGACCCTCTCATACAGTTCCTCATGTTGTGGTGACCCGCAACCATAACATTATTTTCGTTGCTACTTCATCACTGTCATTTTGCTACTGTTATGAATCGGGTGACCCCTGTGAAAGGATTGTTCGGCCCCCAAAGGGGTCGCGACCCACAGGTTGAAAACCACTGAGTTAACGCATAAAGCAGCTCAGTCACTGTCCCAGTAATCCCCTACTACCTGAAAAGGTGCTGGACACCTTTAACGTGTTCATTGTTTTCCAGGGAGTGTCACACGCAGCACCCAACACTGAGGACATCTCCCTGTGTTACGCCAATCGCTCTGTGACCCTTTTCCACCTGGGTCACTATGAAGTGAGTATTCCTATGCCTGGTGGTGTTAGAGAGAATCTATAGGGGGGTTATCTGAATACTAGGCCCCAGAGTTTCATCTCTGCTGCCACATTTGAACACTGAAATCCGCCCCTTTTGGAGGCAGTTGGATTGGAAAGTATGTTTGAGCAATGTAACTGCTACTCCAGAAACGCTACAAGTATATGGCGTTAGCAAACAACTTTATCCTCTCACAGCGTATGAACTGGAAGTCTGAATCAGGACTCCGCCTCTAGAGGCAAGCTGTGTCTCTGTCAGCTCGGCAAAAAGAGGTCCTTTCTCCTTTCAGCTTCTTTGGGCCCAGTGATCTTGGAGATCTTACTGTGTATCAGTCTTCTCTTGGGTCCAGGAGATTCTCAGCCAAAGAGCATGTTCCCTTTGCTTGCTTCTCTCTCCTTTTACCTCTTGCTAGATACAAATTGCAACTCAAGGCAGAGTGGGACTTCAGTACTTGATTCAAGGTGAGACTTGGGGTATGACTTCTAAGAAGGCCTTGACTCAAGATATACGCCCTATCTTATCCTGCTTCGTTAGCATGTACAATGGCTAGGAATTGCAACACCTGTCACAAATGGAGAAGAGTTACACCAGATCACAACGTGGACAACAGTCACACAGTCCTGGGAATCATGACCTAGGAAAGGTGGCACCTACTTTGAAGGGGACCCAATTCAGTCTATGATGCCCACTCAGCGTTTCCACTCAATGTTTCTGATTTATTTTACCTGTCACAGGTGATCATTCAGAGTGGTGGTAGAGTTATAGTACATTCCATAGAGACATGGGCCATATCCACTAGACAGCAGTTCTCAGTGTCAGGATCAGTTGTGAGCTATGTTGCTAACGTAGTAATAGTCCCAGCTTCCAGATGTTCCCAACCTATTTGTTTTTCCTTTTAATCAAGTAGAGCGTGTTTAAGACTCTCCCTGTAATATATAGCTCCCCTGCAGTGTGCTCTTTTGAGAGGGAAGTAAACTCCGCTGAGATGTCTGCATGACCCTGAAGGGGCGGCACCTTCTCTGAGTGCCTTTTTCTCATCCTCCTCGTTGTACCGTTGCTTAAACCAGGCGTGGCCACAGGCAGAGTTATGTTTCAAGAGGGCAGCTGAAGCCTCCGTTGGGTTATTGGTAATAGAGAGGTTAAAGGACTGGCTCAGAGACATTGCTGTGTCACATCTGTTTTGAAACCTCATAGAAACTCACTTTCCACCAATGGTCTAAGGACTGTTTGAACAGCCACGTTCACACTTACTGTCCTTAGGACTGCTGAGGACAGGACAACCTTGAGCCTCTTTTAATCTCCCTGTACTTGTTATGTGCCATCGAGTTGGCTCCGAGCTGCACACCAGAACAAAGCGCTGCACGCACCACCTTCACAACCGATCCTACGCCCCAGCCCATCAATACGTGCTGTGTTACTTGCTTAACAGCTAATACGAGGCAGAGTTTAACTCCAAAGTCTACTCTCTTGTCATCGTACTGTAATTCTACCTGTAAGACTATTTTCTCCTTGAAAATGAAATTTTTGCAAGACCATTTTCTCAGGTATTAATCACTCATAAGATCACAGGGGTAGAACATGACTTCAAGAACTAAGCACGTGGTTATAGTTGCTCTGTTTTTAATCCTCTTTCCCTTTCCTGTAAATGTTTTTAAAGGATTTTTTCAGTCTTCATTGCAGAGTAGGGCCCACGGGTCATTTGGAGGTATCCTTTCTGTTACAGACATGTCTCGAAGACATCATCAGAGCACAGAGGCATGGGTACCCAGAGAGATTGCAACCCAAGATGATGTTCCGGAAGGCAGAGTGCCTGGTGGCCCTGGGGAGGCTGCAGGAAGCACACCAGACCATCAGTAATCTTGAAAATATTTTCAGTGCCAAACCAACACTAGCAGTTTCCCACTCTCAGATTCTACAAAGAAAACTGCCTCATCTAAAAACAAAGCTAGCAGGAAGGGGGAATCTCTCAGAAACCTTCCCAGCATCTCTCACCAAAGCTTTGAAGGATATGGACCTAAAGGAAGAGAATGAGCAAATTCCCGGTGTATCGTCCTCTGTCACCTTATGTGCAGACCCTTTGAAAGGCCGCTATCTGATTGCCACAAAGGATATTCTCCCAGGAGAGCTCCTGGTGAAGGAGGATGCTTTTGTGAGTGCCCTTAGCCCGGGAGAAATGTCACAGCTTCACCCTGGCCCAGAGAGCAAGTGGGACACCAAAGTTACCCACAGGGATCTCCACTGCCACCAGTGTCTGAAGCACACTTTGGCCATGGTTCCCTGTGATGAGTGCAGCTACGCCAAGTATTGCAGCCAGGAGTGCCGACAGCAGGCGTGGGAGCTCTACCACAGTGTGGAGTGTCCCCAGGGGGCGCTGCTGCTCACACTGGGGATCTTCTGCCAAGTCGCCCTTAGAGCAACTCTTTTAGCTAGGTTTGAAAATGTTGAGGAAATCTTACGGAAGCTTGGTCGTGAGATCCGGAACAAGGACGTCTGTCTGCCAGAAAGCAAGAATTATGGCAGGGAGGAGAATGAGGAAAATGATCAAAGAGTTGAGACCCCAATTCCCGGATGTGACATTCATGGGAAATATGAGAAAAATTACAGCACTGTCTTCAGCCTTTTGCCCCATACTGAAAACCATAGCCCAGAGCACAAGTTCCTCTGTGCTCTGAGCATAGCTGCACTGTGCAAGCGGCTAGAAGCAGCCAGACCCTGGGCCCTCGTACCAGGTCAGAAGGCCTCCCCGGCAAAGGCAGCAGCAGCTCCTGGGTTGCCTGCAGAGGTGAACGTTTGGGGAGTGCTGATGCTGCGGCACGTGTTGCAGCTCCAGTGCAATGCCCAGGCCATAACCACCATACAGCAGACAGGTAAGAGGGAAACTTCTTTTCTACCCTGGAATAGTCTTCTTTTTTTAAAAAATCGTTTTATTGGGGGGCTCTTACAAATCTCATGACAATCCATCATTCTATTGTATCAAGCACACTTGTACATAGGTTGCCATCATCATTTCCAAAACATTTTCTTTCTACTTGAGCCCTTGGTATCAGCTCCTCTTTTTACCTGACCCTCCCACCCTCGTGAATCCTTGATCAATTATATATTGTTGTTGTTTTGTGTCTGACACTGCCCATTGTCTCCCTTCACCCACATTTCTGTTATTCGTCCCCTTAGGGCGTAGGGTGCATATCCAATGTAACTGACATTTAAAGATGACAAACTATACAAAAACAGCTTTCAAATCCTTTCCCATATAAATGAATGCCTGTTGCTTCTTTGCTTTATGCCACCTCACCTTAGGAAAGGTTTCCTAGGAATGCTCTCCTTTCAGATAGTGGGGTCGGGGTGAGCGGAAGGAAGCAATACTGGCTACATTGGTCATGGGTGGGGATTGGAGACAGGCTGTATCTATAAGTTTCTAGCATTGTTATGTATAATATATTCCCATTTCTGTGTGGTTTCCCAAGTATATACATAAAGTACATAAAATGCTAGAAGCAAAGATACCAAAATCTAAGCAGGATGAATTCTGAAAGTAGAAATAGGAGTTCTTGCTTTGCGCTTTTCTGGGTTGGTTTGTTTTGCTTTCTTTTTAAGTAAAAACGCTTATTCCCATACTGATAACATCATGCTAGTAATATTTTAAATGGCTTGTATTTCCCATCCTTCTAGGGAAAACATTTGGGAAAAAAAAACTTCACAAATCAAGAGAGAAAAAAATTTCTGGAAATGAGTCTATAGTAGTAGATAATCTAGGGGGCTTCAAAAAAATGTGTAGAGAAATTATTTTTTTCATCACAAATGTCTTGAACCCCTCTCATAAGTGAGCCCTGATGGCATACTGGGTTACATGTCGGACTACTAGCTAGAAGGTCAGCAGTTGGAACCCTCAGTGGCTCTGTGGAGATTTATAGTCTTGGGGACCCGCAGGGGCAGTTCCACTCTGCCCTGACGGGTCATTATGAGTCCGAGTGGACTCGATGGCGGTGAGTTTGTTCATTTTTCATAGATGAGCTAAATGTTCCTGTTACGAATGTCCTTTGGAATGACTCAAAAGAGGTAAAACTTCAATTATAGTCTGTTTACAATCACAGCATCTATAACAAAATAACCCAGAAAGTGTCTGACAAGATATATGATGTGATCATAAGCAAATCAGAATATTATTATTTTTTTATTTCTTTTAAACATTTTTAATCATTTTATTGGGAGCTCTTACAGATATCATAACATTCCATAGTTCAATCATATCAAGCAGTGTTGTACAATTGCTACCACAATCAGTTTCAAAACATTTTCTTTCTTCTTAAACTCCTTGATATCGGCTCCCCTTTATCCTCTCCCCCCAACCACCCCCAATGCTAGTATTAATATGAAACCTTAGAATCCAAGGTAAGATACTTAGTAATACGAACAAGGCATTTTATTTTTATAAAGCAATCTCTCTACATTGAAATTCACCATACACTTAGTAGCTGCAGAAGCATAGAGATTGTGTCTGTAAACAATAAGCGTTAAATGTACAACTGGCAAACACTTTGTGGTCGTGGGAAGTTTTAACGTGCCTTTGGATTTTCTCACATATATTAAAAATTAGGGTTTAGGACCCAAGATAGCATCATAAGCTAGAGATCTAGTAGATACCTATGTATCCAAGCTTGTATCCTATAGAGCAGAGGTCAGCAAGCTTTTTTCTGTACAGGCACAGACAGTAAATTTTTTTTTTTGACAGTAAGTATTTTAGATGGCGCAGGCCCACGCTCTCTCGCCTCTACCTGCAGTGGTGGGATGCAGACAGCCGCAACAATCCACCAACACGTGAGCCTGGCAGGCTCCAGTACGTCATCTGTGGACACTGAAAGTTGAATTCTTTACCAGTTTTCATAGGTTTGAAATGTCCTTTCTGGGGTTTCTTCCAGCCACTTGAAAATGTGAAAACCATTTTTAACCTCTGGACTATACGAAAACACAGGCATCAGGCAGGATTTGGCCCAGCCACCAGCTCGAGTCGGCCAGTTCCTGGAAGAGACATAAATCTGGCAACTCTAATTAAGAAACCAATTTGGAAAATAACAGACTTCAAATTAGGAATATTGAATAAAATGCAATGACTGGTATAAATTCATTTGTACATTTGAAGAAAGTATCTCATATAATTGTAGACTATTGAATTTGAGAATATTAAGTGGGCGGCATTTTAGAAAATATAAATTGCCTAACTTGCCCCAGAAGACGACAAACACTTCCAGAAAACCAATAGTTGTGGAGGAAATTTTTAAACTTAACAAGACATTTCCATAAAACACGTAGGATTCATTTTCTGTTTTACATGTGAGTTCTTTAAAATTTTCAAGACACAGATCATTTCTGAACTTCATAAATTGTTCCAGAATGTGGGAAAAATGAGTACTTTCCTACTTACTTTAGCCGTGGATAAAAGCCACACGTGAAGCTCACGTGACTAAAGATGTCAAGCTCTAGAATGAATCACCACCAGGTCACATCCAGATCAGTACAGTAATAGTATTGTATGACCAAGCGGGGTTTCCCCCAGGAACGCAGGGCTGTTTTGGATTTAGAGGAGTACAAAACAAGGCTTGAATGGATGCGGACGCATGCCACGTCCTTAGGTCGGAAGACTGAAAATGTAGAACTGTGGAAGTGACAGGAGGTGACTTTTAAGTTTTAAGCCTTGAGACAGTGTGGCCTCTTTAATCACCCTCTTGGAATTCTGCTGTGGCCATCTGGCCAAGCCCAGCCTAGGGTCCTTGTGGCTGAAGGACCATGTGGAGAGAGCCCCAGCCAGCCGCGTGGGGAGACCGTGTTGGGCCCACCCAGCCCCAGGGAGGATCTAGACGGACGAATGCTGTGTGAGAACCTAAATTCGGAGGCCCTGCAGCTGGAGCCCTAACTTCAGTCAGGAGCCCTATCGTTAGTCTTGACACTTAATTCAGACTCCATTTTTAAATTCTTTACATTACTTCTCTACTGCTTAGTGACCTTTAAACACTCGTAACTAGTGAAGTGTTTTTCTCTGTGGTTAGGCACAGATGTGGAAAGAGTTTACTCTTGAAGACCCTTGACAGAAATTTCCTGAGCACACAGATACCAGAAACGTGTGTATCTAAGGGGGCTGTTTTGCCATCTCGTGACTTTGGGAAAAGACGTCTTATGACAGCCCTACTCCATCCACCCCGAGAGCACATGCTTTTGTAATCCCTACCCCGTACGCCCATCCTGGTGAAAGCCTTCCTTGAGAGGGCTTACCCCTCCAACCTAATGGTTGCAAGCTGAAGTGCCTCATTGAATCCCATGGGCATGTGAGTAGCTGCTGTGCCTCGGACTCCTTGGTTTCCCTTCTGGGATCCACGCAGCGCCCTAGTTTAAATAGCATCCAGCCTCAATGGCCCTCTCTTCTTTACTGTAGAGTGCAGGCCAGGCTGGCGGGAAAGCCACTCAGCTGAGCCCGGCCAGAACGACTGCTCCACAGACGTATGAGCTAATAGAAGGGCGGTTATCTTAGCCCACCCCTCAAACTCACAGACAAAATGTGAATGACAAGTAAGGAACATTTTACAGCTCTTAAACTCAGCTTTCAGAGATAGTTCTAACTGGGGAAAAAACGAGCTGATGCCAGGGCCTTAGGTGGAGAGCAAATGTTTTGAGAATGATGAGGGCAATGAATGTACAAATGTGCTTTACACAATTGATGTGTGTATGGATTGTGATAAGAGTTGTATGACCCCTAACTTAAAAAAAAGAAAAAATAGTTCTAAGTGTTCTAAAACTAGGTTGTGATGATGGTTATAGAGCTGTGAATATTTGTTTCTAATCATTGAATTGTACACACAAAATGGGTAAATCTTAGATTATCTCAAAGTTATTAAAAATATACGTAAACAAACACATTGTCAACACAGTAGTAAAAATAACCAGTAAAATACATGTCTAACCTCTCTTTAGTGATTACAAGATGCCGGCGTTTTTTGTCTCTCACACTGGCACAGGTCTGTGTCTGTTTATAATACTCATTACAAGCTGGGATGTGAAAATAGAGCCACTTCATACCTGCGCTTTCGTGTGCAACCTTTTAGGGAGCAGAATAATGCGCCAAAGGGCTTTCCCATGGACTTCTCCCCTCTTGTCCCCCTTCCTTGAATGTATCCTTTGAACCCGAGGGTTCCATTTCCAGACCTGTATTCTCAAGGGCTCATTAGGGGCTTGCATAGTGCAATAAAAGCTGCTCACCCCAGTGTCACCATAATGAAAAACTGGAAATAACCTGAATGTTCAACAGCAAAGGATTAGATCTGGAATAATCCCGGGAGGGGAAGGCAGTCATTGCAAAGGCATGGTACAGAAATGTTCAGGATATATGCTGAGTGAAAAGCCAAAGTGTGCTTTGTTTCTAATTAAGTTAAAAATTCCATATAGAATCGCTTCTCGGCCTTTTGGCTAAGATCAAGTGTAGTATCTGTTCTTATCAGTTTAATATCTGATACGTCCTCTTATCTGAGGACAACATATTAAATGTATTTTTGCATGTAGGAGTTGGACTAGAAGCTTGCTCCATCCACTCCACGCATCAGCCTGGTATTGCAGTACTTCCAGGAATGGTGCAGCCCCTTAAGGGCTTTCTATTTAAAAAAGAAAAAATTCCATATAGTTATAATATATACATATATGTGTGCACGGAAGTCTGTAAGAAAATACACCAAAATGCCCGAAGCTGATATTATTACAGATGACTGCTCTCTTCTCTGTTACTTTCTGCTTTTGAAGGTTTGTCTGTCATGAATACCTCTTCATGTGTTTTTTACAAGAATAGAAGTAATCCAACCACTGGGGACATTTTTAAGGTACTTGGTACATATTGCGAAATTGCCCTCCAAGAGGGCGGCGCCCAGTTACACACCCTCTGGCAAGGATCACTTTCATTTTCAAATGCAGTCTAATTTTGTTTTAGTCTGCTCATGTTTCTAATCTTGTTATATCCCTTTTTATTATTTCTTTGGGCTTCCAACACCTCCCAATTTAGTGTTCTCATTGAATTTCATTAGCAGCTGTTTCATTAGTAGCACAAAAGAAGGATTAAAGCATTACATGGGATAGAGTTTGACAAAAACCTATTAAGATGTGTGTTATTACTTTCGCGTAAGTTCCATTTAGTCAGAGCGCCTCAGAATATTCTCTCTAGTACTTACCTGCAGGGGTGCAACTGGCCGTTGATGGCATCCTCGGCTTGGCTGTGTGGTTCCAGCTCTGCGGGGTGGGCTCCGTGGG